CATCCCTTCCTGTCATCACCCTTTTGGCACCCATGGGATCAGGCCCCTGTCGGCCTGCCAAGGCTGTCCAGAGAGCAAGCACAGAGCTGGGGGCAGGAGCCTGTCATACCCACTCCTCCCCTTGCCTGTCTCTAGCCTCAGCAGAGAATGGGGTCAGCCACTCACCTCTAGGTTTCAGCATAGCCCTGAAGCTTGGAGCACAGCTTCTGACAAGAGACCAGGGCAAGCAGCAGGGAGAGAGCAAGGATGGGGCCACCTTCCAAACTCCATCCCCACCCCATGAGGCCAGAACCCAAAGTCAATTGGGAAGGTGGGTGGGATGGCAGGGTGACGGGCCAGTGTTGTACGAACTAAGTCACATAGCTCACAGCGTGACTGTATGACAAGACAGGCCCAGCATAAGCCTTTGGCACAGAGAAGGGACCTCCAGGCTGCTTTCTCATCCACTTAGGGGAACAAGTCAGTGGAAGCTCAGTCATTTATATACAGGATGCCCATTTCTCTGTCAACAGAAACTGACTGGCCTGTTATCCTCAGGAGGAAAGCACGGTTTTGTATACGACCTCCTTAAATGCTTCCTCAAGTAGCAGAGTCCCGGCGTTCCAGCGCCGCATAGATCGCTCTTCCTCCCCCCCACACACCCCCCCGCACCCCCAGCCCCAGCCCTGCACTGCTGCTTCACCCTCCCCTCCCTGCCCCCCGCCCCGCTTCACCCGATCCTTAACAGGAAAGTCTTACTTGGAGATACCACAGGGTACACGAATGTCATGGGGGCCACTCAGGCCAACACTAAGGGGGTGGGGACTTACAGCTGGCACCACCCAGGGGGATCTGATTTCAGTCCCCAGGGCCAGCTGGACCCAGAAAGGGACAGCCTTTGCCCTTCTGGTGGCCAACATGCCACAACCTCAGGCACTCAGCTCCGCCACAGCCTTAGACACAGGCCGACACCCCAGTCTGGGGGGGTCAGAGGAGGCCCCTAATCACAGAAAAGCCCATGGGTACAGATGGCCACATACCAGCAGAGATGCCACCTGGAGAAGGCTGGGCCAAGGTTTGTCTGGGAAATCTCAGAGAACATAACAAGAGCTACCGCTGGTGCGTTTGCTGATTTTAGATGGCGTTTCTTAAACCGTGGCTGGGGGACCACCTGCGTGAAATCCACTAGGGCCCATAAATTCACTATACTTGTTTAAAGTATAGATTCTGGGGCCCAATGCCAGACCTCCTGTGGATAAAGCCCAGGAATCTGTGTTTTTTAACCATACTCAGGTGATCCTTATGCACACTAAAATTGAAAATCGCTGCTGAGAGGAAGTCCCAACATTGCCCTATAAGGGAAGAAAGAATCATAAGCTACACTGTGTTCCTACATCTCCCACCTGCTATATATGCCCCAAGAACAGGTCTTTAACCTCATGTGTCCTCTCCAACAGCCGTGTCAGGCCTGCAGCCTGGCTCCATGGATCAGAAAGGGGGAACCCAAGCCAGCACCAGGGTATGAGGGTTCCTACAACTCGGCTCTGAGTTTCCTGAGAGCCAAAGCCAGGAAGCAACCATGACTGGTTATGTAGTCCTCTGAATCCATTCGTTCGACATGTATAGGCTAGGTACGTGTCAGGCACTTTGCTGGGCCCTGCCCACACAGAGGTAAAGAAATAGATACGGTCCCTACCCTTTACCTCCCAGGTCCTCAGGAAGAGGAAAGCTTTTGCTTACATTTAGCCTCAATAGAAACTTCTTCACATGGGGTACACAGATTAATAAATAAATAGCAAGTGCTGTAACAGATTTCAAAATATTGTTTCTGGTAGCATCTCTTAGTAAGGCCAAGTGTCCATGTAGTAAAAGCAACTGTAATCCAGATAAATGGGCCAAATACAGAGATTCCTTATGAGGCCAACTGTTCCAAGGATAAATCCTAAACTACGGAAGAATAAAGGACCATTTGCCCTTCAACTATAGCAATATGGGGAAACGCTTTGGATGTAAGCAAGAGAGCAGGATATAAAATGTTATGCTCCACGAGGTGAAAATCTATATGCATATGAATAAAGATAAGAAGGGAATCTGAAGATTTAAAAATAAAAAAAGACATAAGGGCTCAGGCTCCTTGGGGGGGTGCTCTTAAATCTTAAAATAACGACTTATCATTGCCATCACCTGGCCCACTAGCTCCTGCATCCAAGCCTATTTTAAATGCCTCCTTCAGCCTAGTGGAGGCTAAGCTTGGAACCACGGGCTCCCTTAAGAGCCCCAACTCCACACCTATGACTGTTCCAAGCAGAGGGAGTGACGTTATATGACTTTCAGTGACTTTATGTAGACAGGCCTGCAGACAAAGACGGTGCTCAACGCACAGCCACACGAACTCCCTACCTTGTAACACAGCTACGAACGTGGGCCTCTGAGGCCACAATGACAAGAAACAACAGAGCAAAAGGATTCCCACCCAGATTCAATCCCCCCGTAAGACCAGGTGATCTCTCCCCATGCCTCCTGAGCACTTCACTGCAGATGCCCGGGAGAAGCAGCTTGATACTCTTTTCTTTCCTTTTGATTCGCAGCACGGAAAATCACAAACAAGAAAGAACACAGGCAGAGAGACTCAGCAAACAAGGCAAGCCCCTTCAGACCCTCATGGATGACTCTGGTGGGCCCACCACATTCCTGGACACAGAAATCCAACACCTGCGGAGCCCTAGACAGACAGACAGCGAAGAGTGAAACCCAGCCCCAGCTGCTGCACCTTTATAAAATATACAGCGTAAACTGAGAGGCTGCAGGGTAGCCACGGGCCTTCACTCCCTAACCCCATGGGCACCAGCCTAGTGGGCACCCTGGCCCAACTCTCCAGGAGCTCACATCCCCTGTGCCCACACCTACGGCACAGCCCCCAGCTTGGTCCCTCCATCTCCAAGACAACACCCTCCCACTCTCCCACCTCCGAACCATACTGGCACTGACAGATTCCTGACCCCTCTGTTGGCATCTGTGCCCGTCAGCCAGGACCAAGCCTCTGTCCCTAATTTAACCTGGTATGCAAGCCACACAACAGAGCCCCAGTCTTGGCATAACCATCTCGAAAGAGGGGGAGTTGATGTCTGAAGCATATGATCTTACACAAGAATCCTTTCCTTGAGGGACAAAAAAATCAAAGAGAAATCAAACCTCATCCAATTTGGGCAGGGAAAGAAAGATGTCAGTTGGAAAAGACAAGGCAAGGTTTAAAGGAGGTGAGGAAGGGGATAGGACATGATGACACAGGTCAGGGAAGTTCAGGTGGGTAGGGAAGGAGGAGAGAATGACAGCCGAAGGCAGGCAGCTTCACAAAGTCACCACGACAGCAATCCTCACATCTCAGAGTGTGGCTCCCAGCGTCCCTCCCTCCCTCACCCCTGGGTCAGAGGACACTGGTGAGATGAGGAACACGAAGCATTGCATCATTAACTGGAGACACCAGACACCAGCCCCATTTCTGATGCACCAGGGCTCTGCTGTGTGGGCACAGGGAGGTATCCACTCTTGAGCTGCCGTCCCTGCCTGAGCCCTGCACCCTTGGCCACAGGATGTCTGCCAAAGAGCCCAGCCCACTGTGTCATCCCCCTACCCCAGGGGAGGAGGGCATCTGACTGCCCACATATCTCTATGGCAACCGTCGCCTCCGACTCAAGGTACCCAGAGAGAAAGAAAACAAACAAATAAGTCAACTTTATAGCCAACGTAGAGGAACCGCAAAAGATGGAGGCTGGGAGGGAGACAGAAAGACAAGCCCTGTTTGTGGGGATGAAGAGAAGCCCTCCCAGCCAGGAGGCAGACACAGCCTTGCTAAATAGGTCCCAGAACAACTGGACACATGACAGGAACCCACTGTCATCTCCGTGGAATTTAATAGCTTCTCTGATGCTTAGGGACATCAACTATAGCTCTCACCCTGGCGTCGCCTGGGTCGCTATTAGCCACAGCCCTCACCTTCCCCAGGGCATCAGTCCTGGCTCCTAATATATGTGTGGGCATCCTATTGCCCCATACTAACTCCTTTCTCTGGGTCTAAAAACCTTTGTCCCCTGCTGCACCCCACAGCCCTCAATGACGACCCATCCCCATACCTCTGTACTCACCAGACCTATTCACAGAGCACTGCACACACTGCTGGGTCTATACCTATCAGATGAGGTGAGTTTGGCAAGCACCCAATACAAGGTTCAGGGAGTGTAGGTTCAAGGTGTGAAAGACAAAGACAGGGCCTCACCCTCCTGGCCCCAGGTACTTGGGAGGATCTCACAAATCAGGCTCCAAGGCCTGGGCCTTCACAATCCTCGGACCTGGAGGCAATGCTGCTCCCACCCAGACCAGGCCACTGAGATTTCCAGACCATGAGGCATCACCCTCCACCCAGGACAGGCTGCATCTGCTGCTGCACCACCAACTTTGTAATTTGATCAAAAAAGCAATCAAGTTCATCTGGCAGGATCTGTTCCCGAGAAGCCCTCGCCAGCAGCAGCCTCCCCTGATGTTTACAGATTCCCTTCCCTTGGGAGTCTGTTCTGCCGCCTGGTGGGCAGGGGGAGGCTGGATTTGTCAGAGCTGTTCACTTACTGCATTTCCATCCTAAGTCACCACTGGGGCACAGGGACCAAGACAGGCCTGGAGCGGCTGCCCACTGCCCGCAACACAGAGACTCCAAATTAAGAGCTCTCTGTTCCATGCCCCCATCACTCCCCATGTCGCTGCCTCCCTTAAAAACCAAACTCCCTTGAGCCTTTAGGTACCACTCCTCCCTGTAGCTACCTACATGTCTTACATCTTTTTCATTCTTTTCTACCTGAGCACTTCTGGTTCCCCATGCAACTCCTTGCCTGGCTTCCAAGTCAACCAACTCTGAAATTCCAATTCTTCTGCAGGGGCTAAAATACACAACTCTCAATTCCTGGAGCATCTTCAGAAGCTATAGCCCTTGGAGGCAGCCTAGGGAGAGGCCAAGATGGGGGAACACTCACCCCGGGCAGATAACTTCTTGGTGTTGATGATTTTTGCTGCGTACTCTTGCGTGGAGGTTTTCTTCACACACCTGCGGACCACAGAGAAAGCACCCCTGGAGGGAGAAGGGGGAAAGAACTGGGACACGGAGCAGAGCAGTGACACAGACATGCTTCAGGTCTGAGAACAGCGATGCTCCCGTCACCAGCCCTTTAGTCAAAATCATACACACCAGCGTAGTGACCATCACCTTCTAACCTGGGGCAGAAGGATGTGGCCACTGCATGACACTGAACGGATGTGGGTGGAGGACCACCCCATCCCACCCCCCACATCTACTTTGCTGGACAAACAGCCCCAACCTCAGGCTGTACATCAAGAGCTGGTGGGCAATGCTTAAAACACACACCTGCTGCATCTCCCGGACAGCCCCGCAGTCCGGCCAAGAGAACCAGGAGAAGGGACAGAGACCCTGCCCTTCTCTCAGCAGAAATAGTTGAGGGCAGGGGAAGGAGAGATTAGGAAGACGGTATGACTCCGAGAGGGAGATCTCCCTCAATCACGGGGGTAGGTGAGGAAAGTGAGGCTCAAACCCCCCACGACCGGCTTCATCCCACTGCATCCCTGGCTCAACTGACAGCAGGGAAACAGAGGATCCAGTTGTAGGTCTCAGACACCAACAGCTCCCCTACCCCATGATTTTTTCCACTACTTTCCCCCCAAATGGGAGCTCGCACTCTCTAGCTCTGGAAACGTCTAGGGGGGCGGGCAGGGCGGGGGCTGCAGTGGCCGGGCTCGGCGCCGCGGGTGGGGGTGGGGGGGCCGGGGCTGCTGCAGCGGCCAGCTCAGTGCAGAGGGGAGGGGGATGCTGCGGCTGCGGCGCGCGGCTCCCGGGACCACTGCAGGGATAGGGGGAGGGGACAAGGGGGTGCTGCAGCACTGCCCAGCAGCGGGTCTGGGATCCTGAAAGCATCACTAGCGGGGGGCGGGGCCGGGCACCAAACATCCCCCCACACTCGGGCACCGCAGCGGGGTTGGAGCTGCAGGGCCAGGGAGGGTCCAGAGTGCCAGGAGCGTGGGACATGGGACAGAGTGCTGAGTGAGCTCCCGAGCAGGGTGAGGAGGGGGCGCGGCGAGCAGGCGGGGTCAGAATGGGGGGCGCCTGAAGGGTGAGGGAGGGGCGGGGCTGGAGGGCGCCCAGGAGTGGTCCGGGGGCTGCAGTCCCCGCGGCAGCGCGGTGTGCAGCAGCCCGGGCAGCTGCTGCAGGGCACGGAGGGGGCTGCGGGGCACGGAGCTGGGGGCGAGGGGGCCCCGGAGGCGGCGGGCGG